CATACATACATACATACATACATACATACATACATACATACATACATACATACATACATACATACATATTTCCATTTTGAAGTGTGGGTCACCAGTTGAGATCTCCGCATTGTAATTTAGGTTAGGATCAGGATCCACAATTTGCCGGTCTTATTTGGGTTATAAAGGTACAGATAATGGCTGAAGAGTTAACTTACAGCTCTTAGAGAGTTATAAAGAAGTCAATGAACACGAAGAGTTGGTAATTTCACTTTAAGGAAAGTGCAGATTTCAGAGTGTAAAAACATTGTTAGATTCAAACATTAATTTCCCCCTGAAACACAAGTTAAAATGTGATGCAGTCATAGTCCACTCCTGCCTACTTCTCCAGATTAATGATTGCAAATAGTGTTAACATAAGAGATAAGCAGAGATGTCGGCAAACAATATCCAAAGGAGAGGTAACTTTTCACTTTGCTATTGTCGACCGACTGTAGTATATGCATAGACAATTACCGTGTGCCAACACAAGCTATACAAATTTGCATATTTTGGACTAGTAAATCATGGAAAATCCTTTGACAAGATATTGAAAAGAGGTTCAGTATAGCATCAGTTAAATGAATACATTTCTACTTCACTGTTATTTTGAATGAAATGTCCATTTTACATATGCTAATGACCTGGGAGTTCTCAACTCATTAGTTTGCGTTTTGGTTAACTGACAAGGGCATTCTTCTTTCAGCATGACAATCTCCATTGGTAGCTCTAGAATCGAGTCTTAATCTTTCCCCTTATATTTGTAAATGCTTGATCCATTTTAAGTTTGCAATTTAGATATATTTTGTTCCTCCAAGACGAAGCTCAAAGAACGAAACAGTTCTGCATTCGGAATGGCCATTGACAAACACGGCCAGATTACAACCTCCGGTGTGAGTGTGATTTTGTTAAAATCATTAAATACGTAGCAATTCTGCCAGTTCGAAGTCTCAACAATCTTAATCACTTCGTTGTAGGACGTAGGTTTCATTTACTACTCATTTAGAAAAGTCTCTATTTCCAGTACAAAAAACATGATGCGTGTAATTTACTGTGTAATTTCCTCACCTATAGTTTTGACTGGGACTCAGAGGATCGTTTGTGCTCGGAATAGTCAAATGGCTTCCAGCTTATCCCAAATTTGTGTCTTATGCAGCACCTTGACAATGTCAAGCTTTCCACTAGAGATAGAGAAGAATATACAAGCCATGAAAATCTCTAGGTTTTTACAGTAGTGGCAAACCCAAAATAGAAGAAATCCTTAATGGCTCTCTGGCTTTAGCTTTGCACAGATCAGCCCACTTCTTTGGTCTTTTTCTCAATTCTGGTTGAGTTTCATCAGGATAGAGGAACTGAATGAAGAGGAAGACTCTATTATACGTATCCTGTATTGCTGCAGCCTCCAACAACACATATTCCTTGCATTCTGCAATGATTTTGACACACACTATGGCATGTTGGCATATATTCTTCTCAGAAACAAAATATTGTTATTCCTGAAATGACATCAGAGGCCAACTCGTCCCATTCTTTGCTATTCCTCATTCGTGAAAATGGAAAAGGGCAATTTTACAAACTTTGAAAATTCATACAAAATTAATGAAAATAGCTACAACAATAATTTTTGGTGATCAGGAGAAAAAGTAGAGTTATATTAGGGAAAAAAAATTGGAGTTAGTGGCACTTTAAGTTTAGAGCATTAATAACACGAAAATAGCAATTAGGAATTTGTTAATGTACGTTAAGTTAGGTAATTTTTGATTTAGACAAAATAAACAACATCCACTGGTGTGTTGGCTAATAATTAACAAAAAATAAGTCACCCTTTTCTGATTGAAAACTGGAAAAGGCTCAGAAAATGTTGGAGGACTTGGAGGATAATTTTTAATACTGTCTAAAATGCTAAAAAGGTTCAGAGAATACCGCAATACTGCAATTCAAGATTTAAATTACCGAAATACTGCAAGAAAAATTGTCCAAATTACACTGCAATACCACAAACCCCAATGCCCCCCTCCTAAAGAACAGTGGCTATAAAATACAAAGGTATTTTGCCCAAATTAGGACTATGTGGGAAAAGAAGATCCCAGCAAGGCCAATTAGAATCTAGCCTGAGAGCAAGCTCTCATGTGCTGCAGAATGAGACCAGCAAAGCCAGCAAAGTGAGACGCTGTAAATGGAAGATTGCCCAGGCACCTCTGTTTTCTGATTGCATGCACACCATGTCTTGGAAGCATGGTGCTCAGAATGTGTGTACACTTACAAAAGTTGGCATTATCCTAAATGCAATTGCCTACTACTTTGCTCACCGCCTTATTTTCAGGCTCATAAAGAGGCAAAGATGGCAATGGTGATATTAATTCATTCCTACCTGGTATAGTGGAACCTCCATATGACAAAGGGCCAAGAAACTGGCGAAATTTGTTCAGTAAATAATAAGGTTTTGTGATATTGGGGTTCTTTTTGATATATTTTACTATCATTGGGGCATAGCATATCATTTGTTATACCGATGACTTCATTATAAAGACACTTGCAGGATTGAGGTTTGTCTGTGCAGTTGAGACAGTGGCTATTTGAGTTGTGATACT